CTACAATTTCTATCGCACTAAAAATAAGAGTATCATTTCGATTAAGTGTCACTCAAAATAAGGAAGTTAGCGCACTGAAAGCAATAGTGATGACACTTTGTTAGGTCGAAAGCTGAGCCTTTCAGCAATAAAGACAAGAAAAAAACGTCCTCAACACAGTTTATTTCTTCTTAGCTTTTCAGAGAAGCTCGTTCAATCTCAAAACAGGAAGACTAAATGAAGGTTATTGTGAAAATTCAAAAATTCTTTAGGTTTACATCAATGCAAGCAATCAAATGTCAAATAGTCTACTCTAATGAAAATATGTTTAACTATGGTTTGACGATATGTCAAACATATTTAAGTAAATGGTGGTACATAGAGCACGGGGATACCCAAGTGACTATGAGTCCCACTATTACAATAGCAAAATCTTAAGCTGACCAGGGAAGTAGGAAATGATGAAACTTTGATTTAAAAAAAATATGAAAAGTGACCATTGCAAGTTGATACCGATGAAACAAGGTCAATAGAGGGTAAGGACAACATACCTTCACGCTATGTCTCGCTGTGATAATAAATACGTGTGTTGCCCCTTTGAAGAAGCAATTTTCATGCTCTACAGGCTTACGGCAGTTTCGATATCCGTTCCATGTTATGGAGAAATCAAAGACAAAACCAGCTTCTAACTCTCTAGTGTTTTTATCATTATTTCTCTCCGTTGTTTGCTTAGCAGGACTGATTCACGTCGAAATCGAGCTTCACGCTCATCGACAAATGCTTCCAGTCTTGAATCAACCAAATGAAGAGAAACTTACGCTGGAGAACGCAGCATATGACGAAAGGACAAATGAGAGGAATATATTACACCCTAACTCATACAAAGGTGGGTTTCAACAGAAAAAAGCTTTAGAAGCAGCAGACCCTCCTATTCTTGTAACAAAATATACCTTTAACAAGGATCCATTGAAGTTGCCGAGTAACGTTAGAAAAGTTGAAAAGCTTATCTGCAATTTTGAATGCATGTTCTCATCTGAAATTTGTTGAAATATTCTCTACGTCTCCTCGTTCTGTCATAAATATCTCTTAATCTACAAGAGAGTGGTTCTTAACAATTAAGAAAATTCTTCACACAATGCTTCAATTATATTTCTCATGAGAAAGAGAAGCTCTAGCTGTCGAAGCCCAAGGTGTCACGCATAGTTCTTGATGATAAGAAACATCGCCGGGGTTTCCCATCTTTTTGTAGCTGCATTCATTCACATTTCAAAGGATATATAGCTGAAAATTACACCAGCAAGTAATATGAGAAAAGTTCACATTTTTTGTCGTAGTAAAACAAAATTTTCCGTCAGAAGCATTACTTTAAATAAGGAAGTTAAAGCACTACAAGCAAAACAGGATGTCACTCCAGATCTGTAAGGAAGAAACCCCAGCCTTTCAGCATTAACGACAACGAAAAGAACTTCCACTGGGTCAAACTAATTTTATTTCCTTTTGGTTTTCCAAACGAGCTCGTTCAATCTAAAAATCAAAAGACGTTCAATGAACATATCTTTAGGTCTGTGATCAAAGTATCAATGAAATGTAAAGGATTCAGTTGCTAGTCTACTTAAAAGACAATGTGTTTGGCTTTGTTTTAAGTCTGTTTTAAAGATTCAATAAAACATGTACGAAAGCTGTTTAAGGGAAGAGAAGTTACTTTATTTCTTCCGCTTTGCCATGATAGGTACTTTTAATGAAGAACTACCAAAAAGTCTAATTATATTAAGCTAGATCTTCCGGGGAAGGGAATGCTTGATGGAGAGTGTCCACCAACAATAAAATAAAGAAGGGCTTAAGGTTAGAAGGTTATGACTTTCACGGTAACGGACATATGTGGATAGGTACCCTTCATACAGAAACGTCTTTTAAAATCAGTTTCCACATAATAGATATATAAAACCTAAAGAGACACACGAAAAAAAGGATGGTATCGCAACCGACAAATTGTGCTTCGATAGGTCCGCCAGCACTTAGTTCAGTTCGGCTTAAATTTCTGTCGTTCTATCGAATCCACTCACTCCTGAAAGAGCTCCTGGAAATCGAACCAATTTGAACGGGCCATTTTTGTGTATAAAACAGCCAAGTGTATGACCATAAAAAATTCATTCATTCTAGGAGAGGCTCTGCACATGGCCTCGTTTAAAAACAGAGGCCTCCGACATTTCGGAAGTGTCCTGTTAAGTTAGGTGGATGGTAGCCGAACTTGTTATCTGGTATTTCTTGCAGAACCAAAAATTCGTCACAAAAGGTACGTAAAAATCACAGAAAGGAGTTCGAACGCCAGTGGCACCATCGATCGTGAAGCGATCAGAAAGGAAGTACGACTTGCTATGAACAACCAAGCCTGCAGTATCCACTGCCCCAAGAGCATCAGGGGAAGACGTGGCAGACCTGGTCAAAGAGGCCCACCCGGCCATCCAGGTAAGCATGGACCACCCGGGCCACAGGGATTAGTGGGAACGAAAGGAAAAC